GGCCAAGTATTAGTCAAATTTGTGGCAAACATGTGTTGTTCAAACACTGAAACGTTTGAAAATTTTAATTCTCGCACCAAAATAAATAGAAATTTCACACCACAGCAGAGATCTGCTGCACAAAAGATAACGAAAAATATATGTTAGTTTCACTTGGATTTATTTTTCCCATTTCGGGATGTCCTCGTTACAAAATAATTGCTATCAAATCACTCGAAACGATGTTTTCTCCGAAGGCTATGCATTAGCGTTGATAAAAACACACATCGTCGACCCGGTATAATAAATATCCATGAATCACGTAGGTGGAATTCAAAGGTCAAACCCGTTACCGATTTCGCTGCGGCTCGTTGAGAATTTAACTGCTTAATTAAACGACCGAGCAACGTTGATGCGCTTTTTTTAAAGCACAATGGAAACGCGTTTATTTCATTAGAAAATCAGGTCGCTGTGCTTCAGCAATCATTTTACGGATCACTCGTTCAGCGGACTGCATTGTTTTTCGTCGATTGTGAATACCAATTTCCAGATAGTGTTGCGGACAGAGTTTTCAATCCAGTGGACTTTTTAATTCGTTTCTTCATTCTTAATCTCTACTTTAAAACACAGGATTGTTGACATGTGACCTGACACTATTTTTTATTATACACATTAGAAGATCTCTTTAAGAAAGAATAGTAAACATTTATGAAATTAAATACTAATTACAATGAGACAGTTTTTCTTTCAGTTTTATGAATACCCTAGATACATTGATCATTATTCCATAAAGAAGACCAAAGGATGAAACAATACAATATGCTACAACTGTGTTGCTAAAAATGCCAAGAATCTACATTTTTCAAATCGATGCCTGTGTAAATAGTAACACTTCCAGCAAAAATTCAGTCGAACGTGGAAAAAGAGGAATCCAGACATTTCCAAACGTGGAAAACCAAAAGTCCAGTGAAACGTGCAATCGCCCGTCTGCGTCTACTGGCCGCGTCCGTTTCATGCATGGATCCCAGATGTTCCGGAATTTATGTCGAGCGCGCAGGAAGCAATCGAATTAAAAGTCTGCTACCCGCAGCTTCCGGGTTGAGGGCGCGCTTTTATTGAGGCGGCGGAAACGTTTTAACCTTGAAACAAGGAAGTTCGACCGAGTTAGCGGGCCAACCGACTGTCCACAGGTTTCCAACTATTTTCCTCCGGTCGTAAAAACCGATAATGGGCCGCAAACCCATCGACGCTGACCGTTTTAATGAAACTATTATGGCGTTTCGCCGCGGCCCGTCGGCTTTACCCGCGATAAAATAGTTGGTCGCGACGCGTCACTGCTATTTCGGGGCGTGTGGTTTAAATTTGTCGTTCCCAATAATCGTCTCATTAATTTCGTTACTGTAACATATTCGTCACGGTGCCGCTTCGGGGCGTACGCGTCGTTTCACGCGTGGACGCTTTATTCTTTCATCTCTTTTATTTTTCGACCAGTGTGGTAGGAAATCATTGTGACTAAGAAAAGTTGTTTAAGGGAGATATGTTCTGATCGCTTTGTAACTACAGAAAGAAAAATGTTAGTATGTACTGTTTGTGAGCCAAAAGAATGCATTTTAATGCATTTCTCTAAAACAATGCCCTTTGTAACTGAACAGGTTGAATCTACTTCTACGTTAGAAAGTCTGGTTAGTTCTACTCGAAGTAAAAGCGGATCTTCCATCCTTGCTGCCTCGTCTACAAGGCCTTTATCTTATCTTACCAATTCCATCCGTATCAATCTTTCATACCACTTCGTTAATTCTCTCATTCGTTCATAGTTATCTATTATTACTCCACTTCGCAATGCTTCTAAATCCCACGCCTCATTTCCCTACTTATTTTCTCATTACTATAACTCCCTTAACTCCAAAATTTATGATCGCTCAGAAAGTTTCAAATGCACCGTCAGATCTTTTATTCAACAAAGAAGAATTCGTTTTTTGTTCCTTTAAATGTCATACATTCACTTTTAAATTTATTTACTCGTCTAGCAAATACTACACGGTAATTAATGTGCGGAAACGTTTTCAGCCCCTTGAATGGTTGGAGATGTCCAGCTGGTTGAAATATAAAATTGTTTTGTTGAAAAATGTCATAAATCGTACACAGAATAATCGCGGTGGGAGAGTATATGTAAATTTGAATGAGATTTATAGGGAACGATATAAATGGTTCATTATATTCTCTCACGAACGCAATCATTTCGATATTTACCATCCTTTCATCCTTTATTGATTTTTTTTTTATGGAAGCTTCAGATATCCTGCTATTTTCGATGCTCAATCCAATTGCTTATTCATCGTCTTCTTTTAACGTCTTTTCTAATTCGGTTTTACTCTAGTTTTTGTACCCAAATAACACATTCACACCTCGAAATACTATTCTTTATGAACACAGTTTCGCGTACGATGTGATCGGAAAAGTAATCTTGAATCTGCAATGCGAACGAAAGAAGTAGTTCACCATTAAATGTAATTAACTGTTATTATTCGTGATTACCTCTCGCCGGTGTATACGTTTGGCCTGGTTTTCTAAGTGTGTTTCATTGTTCGAAAATCAGGAACGATATTTCCATATCGATGGTCCTATTACTGCAACGCTCTGATGAAGGAGCATAATGATTCTCCTGTAAACATGTTAAAATTGGACACAATTGGATTATCAGAAAATACACTCCGTTTCAAGTAATAGAATACAATTTTTCTGTACGTGATCATTGAATTAAATTTACCCATACTTTAGTTCTTAAAAATGCATGAGTGGCAATTTCAAAAGACGTACTCCTTGCAATCATAGCGTACACCCAACTATGCACCCTTAACGGTTATAATAACAGCAGATACTGCACAACTTCCGTTTGCGTAACAATAACTGAGAGAATTCCAAGTGGAATGTGTATCTACGCAGGTATGTTACATATTGCGCGTGTCACTTTAAATTCGCGAAATGCTGCGTTTAAGATCTTGCCATGGAGAATCCGCGGGAAACGTATATTCTCGAGGCTGTCTCCAGGAAAATTCCACGGAAGGAAACCGTTCCATACCGTTTCGTAGCTTGCGCTTCGTTTCGTGCGATCACACCTAATCTGCAGTTCACAATGTCGACGGAAAGGGACACTCGGAACATCCACATTAAAAACGAATACACACAGTTCAGTAGCTTTAAATCGAGTCGACCTACGCGCAAAACTTTTTCATTCTTCCCTAAAAATCTCCGAATCTGAGAAAAGAACGAAGTCGATCCAATGATTTCGAAATATCAAAATTTGAAGGGAAGCCTGCGCAACATTTCAAATTGGAATCGAATATACGGATCGCGTGATATATCGAATGAACCTTTAATTTCGCAAGCAACGAGCGAAATTCTCCGAACACGGTGCTAATAGCCGCGTTAATGGATCCTGGTTTACATACGGATTCCATTGCTCACATCCCTGTAGCGGTTCATCCATCTGCGTTTTCACGTATCAGTGGTTACCCTTCCTTCCTGTCCACGATGTTCGCGTTCGCGTCGAAGCTATCGTTTCCTACGGAAGCAAACCTGGTATCGCGAGTCGCCGTTCGCGTGCTTTTATCGACGTGTACAGCAAAATCATCGACCAGGTATCCAAAGATCCCTACTCCCTTCATTTTCCCAACAAAAAACGCTGAAAACGTTAGCGTGTGGATTTATCGTCGCGTGTTTGGCGATTCGTGCCACTGTGCGTCGCGGATTGTAATTAGGAATTCGCGAAAACGAGTTTTGATCGCGTTTACATATGTATGTGTCAGCTCCAGCCGAACGCGAAACACGAACAAACGAGGGATTTAGTTGCTAGACTTTCCTTTGAAGCCATCAACCAATAGTTTCGTGTGTCGTTCCACGAGCCGAAGTAAAACGATAGTCCTGGTAGTCATTATTGGAAGGGGACTAGCAATTTACGGCTTAAGTGTCAATCGTGGGGCGGATACTAACGCTACAGTTAATTTGCTTTGATTCTTACCCTCCTGCACGCCCCCCCCCTCCCCCTCTCACCGCCACCTCTCTGCGCCCTGACCTTTCGTGTAACGAGCTCGATATCGTGAACTTCGTGGCTGGGAAAGAACAATTGCTTGCCCTGGCACTGCGAAGTGTTACTTCGAACCACGATGATTCATCGAGAATGAGTTCAGCGTCGATGGTCGGAAACTTAGACGGTAACTTGGGAAACTGTGGAGTGTATCGATATCAAAAACTGCAGTTCGGTACCTAAAGAAATTTACGAGAGACATTTTATTTGGGTTCGGAATAAGAGTGTCATTCAAATATAAATCGGAATTTTTGTACGCAACAGTTTTTGTGATAGATACAAATACAAATGGAGTGACTAGTGGGCCAGGTAAATTCTATTTTTTACGATGGGATCAGGAAGCTTCCTATCTGATGGAGAAAATGTATTTCTGTTGAAAGAACATATGTAGAAAATTAAGGCAATCTATTTGTATTTTTATTTTTCGTCAAGAATATGACACTTATTTAAAGATTTGAAATATATTTGAATATGATCCTCGTATTCAAAGATGTCGGATGTACGTAACTGGAATTTTGGCTCAGCAACCTGGACGAAACACGACATAAAGACACAAGCGTATGCCCAAGTTAATGAACTGGGAAAGAGAGAAATTTGCATATCGCTGGGAGGACGCTAAATTAAAGAAAAACTACATAAGCCTGAGGGCAAACTGGGTTCAGGCAAATTAAGAGTCGCAAGCGACTGTCCAAGTTCAGCTTTGACGTACATAAAGGCATACTCGATGCTGAGTAGCCAACTGCTCTTGATTACTCTCGAATTACGGTTCATTTTTTCACCAACGTTGAAGAATCAAGTGAGTTGAAATGTGTATAACAGGATCTATGCTATGAGGTCATCACACGCGGTTGTTTAAATTAAAGTATAAGGGACTTAAATGTAATCAAAGTATAATTTTTATCTACAGCGTTCTAATATTTAATTCTATTTGTTTCAGGTAAGAAGCTCTCCGAATTAATATTTTACCTTCTTCCTCGGTAAACGTTGCAAAGAGTCGAGCTTCCTTTCAAGAGTAAGTAGCTTGGAGACTTTTATTTTCCCACCCGTGGTTTTAGAGTAATAATTTGGATCAATGGATAAGTAAAAGCAATTGCACTGAATGCTGTTTTCATATATTCTTTTCTATTTGTATAAGAATGCGGTGTACAAAATTCTAAAATATTGAAGTTTTTTAAAAAGAAAAACTTTTAGCAATTTTTTACTTTTAACTTTTAGCCTTTTAGCAATTTTCACCTTTTAGCTTCCATTTAAATATTTTATTCGAAAAGAACTTTCAATTTGTTCATTTATCATTTCACGCGAACATGAATGTTTATTAATAGCTTTCGCTCTAAACACTTGGTGGTCTAGAATAACTTGATTAAGAAACAAAATACGAAAGTCTCTTTTAGAAAACTCTTTGTAATAATATGATATAAAAAATTTGAATAAAGCTCTAAGGCTAAATATACGGTACTTTTTTTCGGCCGACAGTTTTGCTACCCAGTGTGTCTTTTGTATTTCCAACGAAGTATTACATATTGACGCTACTACGTGCACTTTCGCGGCACCATCAACCCCTATTGCGAATAAACGCTCACTCGTCTGGACGAAACACCGAATAATTATTCCCAAAATGGTGGTCTTTCTCGGGAACGATTGACGGTCTCTCGTCTAATTTGCCCCGAGTGTTTCGTGCAGGGGAAAATAGGTTGGATTTGAATAATAGTTCTCTTACATCCGGTTCACACTAGAGAAGCGTGCACGGTCATGCAAATTTTGAGTAACTGTTTTAGAATATGTACCGAGCCCGACGCTGTGGCTCGTAAACCTCATGTATATTACGCTGACACACCGCTGTACCTATATAATATGTTAATGACGTATCATTAGATCCGACCGCACGTAAAAGATCTCGCAGCGTACTTACCAGTTTTTGCTTGGGGAACGCCGTGCCAGTCGGACTCGAACCCTGGAAGGAGAAAGAGAAATAGGTAAACGGCGCTGGGTAAATCGAATAACGTATGCTTTCAAGAGAATTTATTTTCTCTTTAAAAATCGTGGACGATTTATCAGTGTAAGAGGCTTAACGGTATTAGATGCAAACGAATCGTACGATAAACTACGATTAACGATTCGAACATGGAGGTCCTATTCTGAGTCTCAATATAATGGATTTGCTACGAGCAAAGGAGGAAAGTTCAGATAAAATGATAATATTTGTATACACACAGAGAAATAGACAAACGAGATATATCAAAAGATAGTCTGACAATTTTCAGCGTCTCAAACGAAACATTATCTTTAAATATTCACTTCCAAAATGATGGTGCTACTTTTTGAAATAGTATTCCATTAGTTCAGATGAGTTTCACGCTAGCTTTCTATATATTTTCAGCTTGCGCTTTTCACTTCCGACTAGTTCGCCAACACATCTGTTTCTTTTCATTCCTCCACTTTCTTATTATTGTAAAGTCGATATGTCGCGCGAAGGAAGTGAAGAGCAAAACGCGTCCGCCGAGTTTCGACGTTTCTGGCGACGATGTTTGATTCCGCTTACCGGATGTAAACAGATCCCAGTCACTCACAAATGAGAGTCGACGTGGAAATGGCGGCCGTGGCGTTTGGGTCTCGGGATCGGAAAGCGATATTTATCGTAGTCACTTTTATCGCGGCACTCGACCGAAATTACAGGAGATACGTGCGCGCTCTCGCGTCAGCCTTCGGTTGGGATCGACGTCTGTTATTCTCAGCGACTACGTCGAGAAGCTACCCCCAGCGATGGAACATTTTTGACTCTCGAGCCCTCTTATCGCTTCTGGCTGTCTCGGTCTTCCCTGCGCTTTATCGAGTACACCAGTGGCTCCCATGTCGCGACTCGAGATTTGGGAAGGTCGAGTAAATTTCTTGCTAACAAAAAAAAAATAAATATTGTGACCATATACTGGGACCAAGAACAGCCAAAGAAGAAAATGTTAACAGTTTACGCGTTTATCAATAATTGTATACTTGCAAACAAATCTAACTACGATATTTCACTCCATGCCACCTCATATTACAGACAAACAACCGGTGCACTATTATTTTCACCTGGCAGCATTGCCGCAAAGCTACAGACTTGAATAATATCTAGAAATCTGCCAAGGAGGAAAAGTGGTTGAGAAACGCTGGGTTACACTGTTCGATAGCCTCGGGGGCGCGTAATTCTTGTTCCCTCGACGCGTCATCATCGTCATCGTCGTCATCATCGTCGGCGTCGACGCCGTGTTGGGCGTTACTCATGCACGCGCGATTGAATTGAATCGCGACAAAGTCGGTCGCGCTTCGACGGAACTGGGTCATAGGGGAGGCGCGAGGGCTGGTTTCCATGCTTGCGAGAGGAAATGTTAAACAGTCGGGGGATGTTCGCGATGTATCGAGTGCCCAATTAAGCTGACGATGGTTAACTTTCGAAATTTCGAAAGGGAATCGGGCTTGTTACACTTTGACCGTGTTTGCGACGCTTCGTGCGCGCTCCAGAGTTGCTCGTTTAATAATTCATGCTTTGATTGTCTTCGACAACGACAGGGGAGGGTGAATGGTGAGGTTAGGGCGGTGAATTCGTGGCTAGACTACTTCCTAGCGTCGCGACGTGTAATACGTGATCTTTTTCAGCCGCTCCGCGTTGACATTTAACTGACGACAGCACGAAACGCGTACATTTACTTACAAAAATATTGTACGATACATTCGAAGAATTTCTTAGATGGAATTGTCAACTATAATTCATTTTGGATATTATTCCAAAAGGCCCGTGGCCAATTGATATAAAATTTGGAGGATGTTATGCAGAGCGTGAAAGGACACCAAATAAACTACTGGACAAAATTAGCGGAACACTTTTTTAAATGTTCATAATTATGAGAGTTTCCAACCGATTTCGGTGAAACTTCGTGAGGAAGGCCGGACGAAGCCGGCGTTCAGAAGCGGATCGAGGTCCGTACGTGGTCAGCCCACGTTCTATTGGATTCAGGTCTGGGCTTCATTCATAACTGGGTCAATTTCGACCCATAGGACTCCATATACCAAGTTTCATCGAAATCGAATCAATTTTCTTATTTTGGTCCGCCATATTGGATCCACCATTTTGAATATCTAAATTTTGAGTTCAGATTTGGAATTAGTGACCTCAAAAACTCCTGTATACCAAATTTCATCAAAATTGATCGTCAGGAAAAGTGGATATAAATGTTTCTTTTTTAAACAACTTTGAGGAGTATCCCAATCAAGAAATACTACAATGTTTACTATTATGTCGAGGAATGTCGAGGAATGTTCCTTCCAGGAGATACTACAATGTTTAATAGTATTTCTCGTAATTGGAACGGCCTTGCAACGACGCCATTGCCTATATATATATGTAGGTCACTACGTCTGTCAGTCATTTATAATTGTCTATAAAATAGGAAACTTTGAGGTGTCATAGCTCAGCGTGGAATTGTTCGATTCGATTCTACCAAAATTGAAGGGCACAATATCTACTATGTAATAGGTAGTTACTATCATTGCTAGATACTCTTAAGCAATTGTTTTTTTTAAATACATAATTATTAAATATTACCCTGATTGTACCATGTAACTCGGCGTAAAATCGTCCGATTCGATTCGAAAACCTATTATGATGGATTTATAATCGAGAATCTGTATATTCTAAACATGTATCTTCTAAATGCATAAATTACCGAAGCTAAAATTTTATATCCGGGGTTATACACTTTTACAAATTTTACGCTCCAATAAGTTTATCCTGTGTAATCACTAATAAAGTTTGTCTGGACTTGCGCTATCTCCTCAGAAGAGACATCCGAGTGCAAAGGGTTAATTATATAATATCTCTGATTACCAACAAAAATATTGATAACTGTTGGCAGTACTGTCAACCTAAAATATCAAAGCAAATGTCTTGCAAGTTGTCTGTAAAAACAAAATTCTGCCCATAGATGGTTAAACTGTACTGCAAACTAGACAAAAGAAAGAAACCAAACGATAAAGTCGTCTTTTCTAATATTCATCCAATCTTGGCGTCGTTAAATCCAAATTTATCAGGCGTCAGTGAGTTTCCATCGCGAATCTGGCAGCCGCGTTCGCACGTTTCATGCTACGTTAGGCAATCAATTGGTTCGAGTATGATTAGCTCGTAAAGTCGTATAACGGCCGTGGAATCGTACAGTAGCACCTTATCGTCGTGGCCCCGCGCTGTCTATACGTCTGAATACGTTTAACGCTCCGTTGGCTGAGAGGTCTTGGTGTAATAATTGAGCTATAGCCGCGTACGGACGTGGGCACACCGACGAGGCGAGGGTAGGTCGAGTGGCTAATGGAATTCATCTGTGCCTCGTTACGTGGCATTTACCTTCCACTGGATTGTTCAACTAATTCCGCTATCGATTCGTTCGGAACCTTTCGATACGAACAGAGGAAATCAATGCGAAGTAGACTTGGCAGGTTCCTTCTCGCGGGGGTGAATCGTGATAAACTCTTCCAAAGGAGAGTGGAACAAAATTCAGGGGAGGAAGCATGGATTTCTTTTTACGTGTATATACGAGCCGTTAATTGCACAGATTGGTTAACTTCATAAAACAAAAAGTTGAGCAATGCGATCAAATAATATATATCGTTTTTTAAAATTTTCTTTAATATTGAAAAAAAGTTGTTTTCTTTTCAGGAAAGTTATTATAAATATAAAAAGTTATGACTGTACCAAGTGCTTTGACACTTAATTTTCAGATTTTTCAAAAGGTAGAGTTAATCGATTTGTGCAGTGAACGGCTCATACGAGAATCACAGCGTGTTTACATATTCAATTTAAAGATAATTAAATGAAATAATTCTTTGTCATTTACAGGGTTGGTTCAAAGTGACTGAGATTTGAGTGATTTTTGTATGAAATTTAAAATAGAATTGTTCGATACGATGTTTCGTTTTGGAGAAGTTCGAGTTTCGACATCTCTGTTTGTGTGGTAGTGAATGTTATTTGATTAACATGCCTGATTA